CAGTTCCACTCTGTCCTCTAGGGGCGCTGTGGGTCAGAATGGACTCCACGGCAGTGGGTGTGGTTTGGGCTTTGCTTCTGTGAAGATTGGCAGCCTTGGAGACCCTGTGGGCAGTTCCACTCTGTCCTCTAGGGGCGCTGTGGGTCAGGAGCAGCTCAGTGGCAGTGGGTTGCGGGTTTTATGCTTCACTGTGTACCTGGCAAGTCCACCGGAAGATTAGTGTCTGGAGCTGGTGTTGCCTGGTCTGTGGGCAGAGCACTAGTGATCTTCCCAGCTGCCTTGACATCCTCCATGCTGTTAGTGTGTACAGTCCCTCTGGTGTCCATGCAGATGGTCTGCTAACTGAAAAGCTGGAGGTTCAAGTTCACCCACAGGCACCGTGGAAGAAATACCTGGCAATCTAGTTCCAAAACTCAGCCCCTGAGACTGCTGGGGGCGCCGTGGCTGCTGGAGCTCAGCTCTGTTCCCACACCCAGGGCGGGCCGCTGGGAGTCGGAGCGGCCACCGCTGGTGCTCAGCTGTCCTCCGACCCACACGGGGGTGCCGTGAGTCGAAGCTGACGCCATGGCCGCTGGTTTTGGTTTCGCAATCCAGTAGCACCTGCTTCTCCCAGCCTTGCCAACCGAGGGCGTTACTGAACGCTTCAGATCTTAGTAGTTTTCCACATGGCCTCTCAGTGCCGTTTCAGTTTGTACTTCTCTTATCAAGAGTGAAATTGATCCTTTTTCTATGTGAAGATGTGAGAGTCACGTGTGTCTCTCTGAACTGTTTGTCCGTCTGTCTGTTGGGTGTTGTTGTTCTCTCTTGTCCGTTTCTGGGGTGCCTAAGGCATCTGAAAGGCGCTCTGGTGGCTCAGTGAATGAGGCACTTGACTGCTAACCAGAAGGTCAGCGGTTCAAACCCTCCAGCTGCTCTGTGGAAGAGAGCTGGGGCCATCTACTTCCATGAGGATTTATAGCCTCGGAAACCCAGTCAGTGTCGCTGTCATTCGGAAATGACTCCACGGCAGTGAGTTTGATTTGGTTTTGGTTAAGGCATCTGACCGCTAACCACAAGGTTGGTGGTTCAAACCCACCAGCCGCTTTGCGGAAGCAAGAATCCAGTCTACTTCTGTAAAGATTCACTGCTCTGGGAACCCAATGGGGGTCGCTATGAGTCGGAATCAACTTGATGTCAGTGTTTTTTTTTTTTTTTTTTTTGTATCACAGAGATAAGCTTTTCATGCTCAGTGTGGCTTGGCGTGTCCTCTCCCGTTTGACTCTTTGGGAGGTTCCTGGCGTGTTTGCTTTGGCCGTGCCTGGGTTTTTACCTGTCGGGGCGGCCCTTCCATCCCCCTTTTACTTTGTGGTTTTGGAGTATCATGTCCCAGTTACCAGACCTTCCCTCTGAACCTCAGGAAGTGACTTCCCCGTGGTCTCTCCTCGTCCTTTTACATGTCATTTTCCACGTCTAAATCCTTCATCTGTGAGATTTTCCTTGGCATTCTGTGTGAGTTTGGATCCAACTTTTTTTCCTCCCAGAGGACTACGACCCGGCTTTCTTGAGGTCATTTGGTGGTAAGTGTGATGAGTCAGCACTTATGTCTTGACAATCCCATAATCCTTTAATCCTTTCAGTGTGCGCCTGCCCTGTAGCGCTCAACCCCTTTGTGGAGACCACAGGATGGTTAAGCAGGAGGATAGGAGTGGATGGTTCTCTTCGGCATAAAAGGCCCCCTTGGTACTGCCTTGTCCGAGTCTAAGCACATGATGTTAGTTCCTGCGCTTTGTTCCTTCGACAGTCATTGAGTGCACACGCCACCCTGTGTGGCACTGGGGCTGATGGCAGGGAGCCAGCAGGCGAGGGCGTCGCTGCATGCAGCAAGTCTGGGAGGCACGGGCGTCCATACGGGACTGTCCTGTGGACGGTAAAAATGACGCAGGAGAAGGTTAGGAAGGGAAGGCCCTTGCCCCTGTGACTGTGGGTGAAGGGAGCCGCCTGGTCCAGCTGTAGGACGGAGGCTCGTGGGGCGCCCGCAGGCTGAGGACCTGGGAGGACACGTGCCCCTGAGCCGCAAGGAGCTGGGACAGCAGTGTGGTGGGGGTCGAAGGGCCAAGGGCCCGGGGGGGAGCTTGGAATGACGACTTCTGCGGGGAGGGTGAGCTGTCATGGCTTCTCTCTGCTTTTCATCCCTGTTATTTTTTCCAATTTTTCACTCAAGTAGAAAACAGAAGTCAGTGCTTTCGGCAAGGCGCTTTGAATCAGTGCTTCAGATGCTAAGAGGAAGGGACCAAAGGAGACAGCGGCTCTGAGCCTGGGGCTCGGGGTCTGTAAACCCTCCGGGATCCGCGTCACCGGAAAGCCCGTGCTCTGGGTGACCAAGGCTCCAGAGCGTGGTCCGTTCACTGTCCGCAGAGAACTGAGGCTCTGCTTCTGTGTACCTACTTCACAGATGGGAAAACAGAGACCCCAGAAGGTTACCACCTTACCAAGGGCTCCGGACCCTGCCTTGGGCCTGGACCCTGTCTGTCTTATGTCGGAACGTGTCTCATTGATTGGTGCCACCCCTGATGATGTCGGACAGCAGCCGCCTAGCCTGGCCTTTGCTGTCCCCCTGCCCCCGCGAAGCCTTTAACAACCTTTGCTGGCGCCCCGCTTTCGTCAGCAGAGACGCTGGCCGAATGAGGACTTTCCTTGATGACTCAGGGCCATTACTTGAATCATCAGGGTTTGGGCTGGGACACGATGCCCTCGCCCATGGCTCTTGTCCTGGCTTGTCTTCCCCGGCGTGGCTCCCTCCCTTCTCCTGTGCTCTGCATGGGGGGGGGGTGGTTAAAGTCTCCACACTGCTGTGGTCGTCACCTTGCTGTGGGTCTCTCTCTCCCCTTCTCTGTTCTCTCTGTCCGCTCCCTCCCTCCACCTTCTCTGAGTCATCCTGTCCCCCTTAGCAGGTGCTCACAGTTCTGGGGTCCTGCCTTGGCTCCCCCACCTGCCTCCCTGCCCTCCAGGGAGCCCGCCATCTCTGACTTCCGGGCTTCCCTTCCCTCTCCTCATTGCTGTTTCTGCACCATTTCCTCTCTGCTTCTCTCTCTCTCTGGCTTTGGTGCCTGTCAGTGGGCAGCCTGGGGCCGCGGGTGCTGTTATGTGACCCAGGACCCCCTCAGGCCCTCCTGGGTTTCTGGCTTCTCTGGAGGGTCGTGGGGCTGGCTGCCTGAGTGTCAGAGAAGAGCAGAGGGCTGATCTGGTATCAAAGACAAAGACTGATTAAGTGGCATCGTGGCCTGGAAGGAGCCGGGGCTGAGGGTTGGGACCTGAGTGAACACGGGCAGAGCATCCAGACGCTATGGGCCTGCTCCGGGTTAGTGGGGTGATGGGATGATGGTGGTGATAAGGGGGATAATAATAATGTAATAATAACAGCGGCTGCCACTTAGAGGCTGGGGACTCGCCCCAGGGTGTAATTAAAGACGCATGTTCTCAGGCCCCACCCGAACCTACAGATTGAGATGCTCTGGGGGTGGCCGGCATTTGCATTTGATTGTGCCCCCTCTCTATTCTGATGCCCCCGGGGGAGCCGCCCTCAGGAGCCCCTGGGGGATGTACTGCCTGTTTCCAGGCCGTGCACCCTGGAGCTTGCTGCTGTCCAGCTCTGCGCCTAACCCCACGTGCTCTTGTTCTTGCCAGGTCCTTCGCTAAGCCCCCTAAGCAGGTGCAGACAGTCTGCGAGTGTATCCTCATCATGAAAGGGTACAAGGAACTCAACTGGAAAACCGCCAAGGGCATGATGTCCGACCCCAACTTCCTGCGGTCTCTGATGGAGATCGATTTTGACTCAATCACTCAGGGCCAAGTAAAGAGCATCAGAGGTGAGTGTAGGTGATGTGCAGATGGCCAGGGTCCATTTCAAGTTAATTGTATCAGAGGTGAGTGCGGGTGATGTGCAGATGGCCAGGGTCCATTTGCATGTCAGTTAAGAGCATTAGAGGCGAGCGTGGGCAGTGCGTGGATGCCAGGGTCCATCTCACATTGGTGTCAGAGTCTTTGGGGCACGAAAGGAGAGTGAGGAAGAGGCTTCCCCACAGGCAAACCCTCCCATGGGATCACGGGGGCCCTGGGATGGAGTAGACAGAACTGATTGTCATGGGTCACGACCTGCCAAGGAGCTGGAGTGGAATCTGCACCCCTGAGGCGCTCGAACTGCCCTGGGGAGAGGTGTGCCCTCGGCGAATGGCGGCAGTGCAGTGTTCCCAGGAATAGGAGGGTGGATGGTGGACAGACAACAGCAGGTGTCCACTGAGTATGTGACTCCACAGTTGCTCTGATTCTCCCTGCCGGGAAACACGACCTGCTCAGTGGCGCCCTGCTCTGCCCTCCCTGTGTCTTCTCCAAGGGCACGGTGTTGCCAAGAGCTGGTCTGCCCGTTTCTCCTTGCCAGTACAGGGCCTGCTGGGGGTCCCTGGGGGATGGACAAGCAGGACCCTGGGTCTCTGGGGAGTGGACAGGTAGGAGGGGGCAGCTTTGCCCATGGCCAGCCCCCCATCTTTGGTTATAGAGTTCCTGAGTCCTTTTGTACTTGGCACTCAGTTGAATGACATTAGTTAGTCTTTGTGAAATGGAATAAGAGGTCATAATATTGCTGCTTATTTTGATGATTTTTCAAGAATTTTACCATTAAGTGTTTTTTTTCAGCTCCTTACAAGCAAAACCAAACTGAATCCAAACAATTACAAAAATCCTCTCTCTGAGTATCAATGGGATGGGTATCCACCTACCGTGCAGTCACTCCCATGGGGAAGGCAGAGACTGACTGACACATGACCTGTAAGGACCTATTCTTCCCAGTTAGCCCCCTGCTTGGAGCCACCTTGAAGCCCAGAGAGGGCCCCCCACAGACACCTGGGATTCCTGGAGCTGCTGGAGGTCACACACAGATGTGGCCGGATCCCAGGAGATCCCTGGTGTCCCTCCATCTTCAACATTCACTTGTAGACTCAGTCAGCATAGTCTTAGGGGACCCAGGTCACCTGGCATAACACAGTCCACAAAGATAATGTTCTACATCCTACTCTGGTCAGTAGCACCTGGGGTCTTAAAAAGGTTATGGGTGGCATGTAAGGTGCAAAATTGGTCTCTCCTTGTCTGGAGCACAGAAGAGAAAAGAAAATCAAAGACCCATGGAAACCATGCCTCAACTTTTAGCAAAACAATAGATCTGCAAGGTGAACAGTAACACAAGGGAGAAACATACTCTTTAGAACAACCAACCGTATTGCTCTAAAGGGCAGCATTTGCCCAGGGATACAGCTCAGACACAGGAAGGGATGAGAAAGAAGGATGAATGGAAGTGAGACACGGGGGAAGTGGAAAGAGTGCTGGTACCTCGTGGGGACTGCGACCAGTGCCGTCAAATGTGTGTGAACTGATGAATCAAAAACCAGTTTGCTCTGTAAACGTTCACCCAGATCACACACACAATAAAGGGTCAGGCCCATGCTGTTGTGCGGGGGAGTCCTGTCTGGATCTGGCTTCCAGGTTGCTGAGGAATAAGGAGTGAGTTATGGTGGCTCTGTCCACAGCCAGTCCATCTTCTGTTTTACTTTTGTGAGATGACACTCACCACTCACCGAGAACACTGCCTCCTCGGTCTCTAGGTCTCTTGAAGACACTCAACACCACAATTGAAGAAATGGAAGCTGTGAGCAAAGCAGGCTTGGGAATGCTGAAATTCGTGGAAGCTGTCATGGGCTACTGTGACGTTTTCAGAGAAATCAAGCCCAAAAGAGACAAGGTACCGCCCACGTGTAACACCTGGGGACCACTTGCAGGGACTAAGTTGGCATCGCAATCAACCTGCCCACACGTTTGCTGGAGGGGTCCTGGCAACGTCAACATTATGATTTCAAACCACATGAGCATTCCTCCACCCCCCCATAAATGATAACCCTGGAATTCCACTCACATGTAGACAGTGTGAACCAACAGAACTGAAGTCTGAAAGATGGTCAAATTCTATGTGAAAAGAGTAGGGCTAAAGATGTTCACAGTTCTCTGAGTGAAAAGCAGGGTTTCTCAGTCTTGGCACTGTTGGCGTTTGGGACCGCGTAATCTCCTGTTGAAGGAGTCCTGGGTGGTGTGACGGTTAAGTGCTCGGCTAAGAACTGAGAAGTTGGTGGTTCGAGCCCCCCCAGCGGCTCCATGGGAGAAAGACC